TGAGTGCCTCGTGTACAGTGCATGTTAAAAACCCACACCAGAGGGTCTTATTACCTGATCTGATTTTCCACATCACAATGTAAAGTCTGTCTTAGTCCTCACACAGCCAAGGGTAACTTCAGAATGAGGGGAGTGGCTGGCATGTTAGTACTAACAATTGGTCTTTCTCTTCAGGTAGCATTAGGTAAGGTAACTCCACAGACTCTGTCCAGTACCCTGTGTTCAGCTGATTCTTCTTCACAACTTGTCTTTTACATTTTCTTTTTCTCTTTCTCTTTCTCTCTTTCCTATTCTTTTGTTTTGTTTGTTTGTTTCAGTGCCGCTATGGAAGACCAGAGCTAGGCAGGTGCTCTAGTCTGCTGAACAACACCTCCAATTTACTTCCTTAATTTCTAATAAAAGCTGTGGACTCAGCCACTCCTGAAAAGGTTGTAGGATGGGTCAAGGGACAGTCAAGATGTCACCATTCCAGTCTGTGACTAAAATCAGACAGGAAACCCTGTGCCCCATAGATAGAGGAAGGCTGGGAGCGGGGAAATGACCTCAGGTTTGTTTGGATTGCTACAAATCCTTCATGGGGGAAAATGTTTGATGCAGTTAGAATGAGGTAAAAGGGCATCTTTATAAATCATGCATCATTTGCATGGGTGGGGAGAGGAGTTGTGGGAAGTGATACTGAGACTGTGTTTGCTAGGAAAAATGCCTGGCTTCGGAAGAAAGCAAAGGCGGGAGAAGGGTGTCCTGCGGTCTGCAGGAGGAAGGAACCTTGGAACTCCTTCTCTCCTGGGCATGTGCAGTCCCCAGCTGGAAGGCAGAGCAGGGGTAAGAGAGGCTGCTGCCTAAGTCACTACACTGCTTAGGAGTGTGGCTCTCTCCTGAGAAGCTTGCAATGAGCTCAGGGTCTCTCCAAGTACTCTTGGAGTCAGAAGGAAGAGGACTGGCAGAGCCATTTGGCTTGGGTTATTGTCATTGCCATTATTTTAAAATAAGCAAGCAAGCAAATCAAACTACCAAAAAGCTCCCAGGATGTCTGAAAGGGAACACGCATTCCACGCCACGGGAAATGAGGAGTAAGGGTTGACGCCTCGTGTCTCAGTGTTGGATGGCAGAGATTTGGGGCTGTCACTTTTCTGTGTCCTCAAGCTTAAAGTGCCAGGGTTGGGCGTGGGCAGCTGGACAGTGGTAATGCCTCACCTAGCAAGCATGAGGACTGGGTACTATCTCCAGCACCACAAAGTAAAATAAAACTAAACAAGGGAAAAAAATAAGGAAGAAAAGACAACTTGGATTAGAATAGCTCTAGTTTTCTAAGTGTATTAATCATGGACACCTTTAAAGGTGCAAAACTATGACATAGGCATGAAATATGCTGGCATGGAAACGGGGGAAGGGCAGTGAATGATCTCACCTATCTCATCAAAATAAGCAAGACCTTTTGTATAATATGTAATAGCAAATGTTTTATATATCTATTTCAATGTCTGAAATGACTCTAGTATACATTTCAAGCACTTTTAAAACAGACATTTCTTAGAGCAGTTTTTAAAATGACTTGGTTTTATATTTTATTATTTTTTAATCGTGTTTGTACACATGCTAGCGACATTGGAGCCCCTGGAGCTGGAGTTATAGGCAGTTGTGGAGTTACATGTGGGTGTGGAGAATCAACCTCAGGACCTCTGCAAGAGCAGTGTGCGCTCCCAACTACTGAGCCGTCCCTCTAGCCCTCTGAGGGCAGTCTTAAGATAAAAGAAAAGTCAAGTAGAAGGCACAGAGTTCCCACACATCTCTTCTCCTCCACAGTTTCCCCTCTTATTACCTTGCATTGGGCGCAGTGGTTTTGTTTATGTGTGTGACAGCAATGTTGCTTAGAAGATGCTTTGAGAAAACTTGAGGTGAGAAGTCTGTAAAGGTCCCTTTGCCATCTCTGGAAAGACAAAGAACCTTCCCTTCCAAAGGGCTTTCCACCCGAACAGAGACAATCACCTTGCCATTGACCCACATCCCCAGCCCTGGAAAAGTCATTTATTAAACCCCCAACAGCAAATCATGCATCAAAAAGCATTTTCTTTCCCATGGTGTCCTATTTGAGTCACATAACAAGCCTATGACTCCACCACTCTCATTTGAAACACAAGAAAGCAAATTTAAACACAAGGCAAACAGAGACCAGAACAAACTTCCTGGTGTCCAACCCTGGTCTCTTAATGGGCCACATAGCTCAAGGGTGACTGTCCGCTGTATTAGAAACTCATCCGAGGGGCGGTAAGTCCAAAGAAAGGGAATCCAACTTTGAAGAGCAAAGAAACTTGATCCACACTATCAAGGGATGACCTGAAAATAGAAAGCATTTGGAAGGAAGTTGAATAAATCCATGAACAAGTCCATGATTAGTTATTAAAGGCACATTTCTATCACTGGAACCTGCTCCTATGGACAGCCATTGCTTCCTCATGCCTGTGTCAGAGAGAGTCACGGGCTGGGCACATTCAGACCTGCATGCATCCAGTATGGAGTCACTTAACTTTCTCAGGGCAGGGTGCAGGTACCATGAAGGGAACTGAAAATAACCCACCCGTTGCTACAGTGCTCAAACACTGATGTCCTGTTTTAATCTTTTCCCACTTATTCCTGTGGAATGTACAGAAGTCACATCACAGCTCACACACAAGTTTGTTTTCCACGTACTTGGGGGGCAAGGTGCTATTACCAGTTTTGATATGTCTATATAATTGGCTATCAATCATCCTAATACTATACAATACTGGACTATGCTGATACATCATATGACAGTTTCTCTATTTTTGACTTAATTGTTTCCAGTGTCACATTCTCAAAACAGTGTTTTACACCAGGCTTGATTATGCACTTTTGGAAGTTCAACGTCAGCCTGAGCTACATAGCTAGTCTCAAAACAAACAGAACCCAATGTTTTAGAGCTATTATAATCATGTGTGGAATTTTAAAACTTAGTATTATTAGATTAAAAATTTCAAAGAGTTACTGCTCCAAGAGAATTACCTGATTTTAAACTTTTAATTTTTGTCATTTCAAGCTTACTAGAGATTTGAAAGAAAAATGCAAAGCCCTCCAGTACAGCCTAGTGACAAATTAACTCCTCATAGGCATCACCATTTCTAAGGGCTACTTTCATACTCCCCTTTGTCACATCTGTTGCTTCCCAGGGTGTGTGTGAGTGTGCAATTCACACACCTGGCCCAGATGGCCAGTGCAAGTCTCCAGTCTAGAAGAAGGCCTAGACAACATATGATGCATTAACTTCTAAGGAGACAGGAACAAATGTCTATTCACCCCAGACACATTACTGAGGACAGACAGACACACACACACACACACATACACACACACACACACACACACACACACACACACACACCAATTCCATGAGTGTAGCTTAGAGAAAAGTTTAACTCGGGTTACTTAGAGGCGTCTGGGCGAGGGTGAGCTATGGAAGTACAGTCAACTATATCACAGAAGAAAAGTCCCTCGCCACTGCAGCATTTGTTAACAACCCATACATCTTCCTGCAGAAGTGGGGCAGGGAGGGGCAGGTCTGTGAGCCTTGCATCTTGGTAGGGTCTACTTTCAAGACAGGACCAGCAGTGGCATGCCATGAGGGGCACAGCACCACAGTATGCTCCATTTGGATGTTTCCCTCCGTTATCCTTGAAAACTCAGTTTCCCTTTAAGAGGAGGCCCTCACAGCAAACAGACCCCACTACCAGAGTCTCACCACCCACCTCTCTTCCCTTTGGGCTTTTCTTAGACCACACAACTTATTTAGTGTTTAGTGTCATCCTGGTCTCAGTCCCGGGGCCCCATCAGCTGTCCCCTGCCCTCTACCTCCAACAGGTGGCACACTCTCTACAGAGAGAACCCCACCCCCACCCCCACTGCAGAAGCCAGCCCGTAGGGACTCTTTCTTCCACACTTCTCCTTACCCACCCGTCCCCATGTTATCGGGACTTGGATTTTATTTCTCTTGAGAGCAAAGGGCTTCTAGGCAATTTTCCCAGGGTGTGATGTCGCCAAGATTTATTTTCTTTTTCCCACCCCGCGGCAGACCTTTGACTAAATTCAAAGTCCCCATTGTCAGGGCCTCAACTTCCCTTGCCTCTGGCTGCCGGATCTCCCCTGGAGTCCGACAAGGGAAATAAACTCACAGATGGTAGAAACACAAAAGCCGAGGTTTCTGGAGCTGTCGGTTTTAGCTGCTCTCTATCAGCAAAGCGGGGGCAACTATGACTGCTGAGAAACGCTCCTCTCGGCTACCCCCAGCCAAGAGTAACAGACAGAGGTAACTTGCTGAGCCTCTCTGATGTGCACACAGCTGCAGAGGAAGACTGGAATGGGGGGGGGGCTTGATGCCCCGGGACTATTGAGGCTTCTGTAGGTTGTGAAAGGGTATAGACTATCAGAATGGCAGCTCCCAGGAGCTTTCGTGGAGCCCCCTCTAGGAGAAGGATGGCGTGTGATGGAATTCCTGCTCCATGCCTTCACTTTTCTTAGTTCCCTGAGAGCCCTCCGCTGAGAAGTGGCCAGGAAGCGCCCCAGCCCAGGGGCCTAGGGAGAGAGAGCAGCAGGTCAGAGGTAGGGAGATCAGCAACAGCCCTGACGTCATGTGCTTACTGTCCCCAGTCACTCCCAACCCGGCACAGCGTCCCTCCGTGTGTCCTGAGGGGTAGTTACTTCTTCAGATTCCAGAAGAAGCCCCTAGTCGGGCGGGGCTGTTTAGGACTATAAACTCATGGTCAAGACAGGGGCTTAGAGCACTCGATCCTGCGAGTCCCTTTTAGGCCTTTGAGACCAGGATTTTACAACAGGATGATTCTTAAGTCCCTTCCAACTCTGAAAATTCCTACGATTGGATGATGTCAGTATGGTGAATAATCAAGCTGGCGCCACGCCAAGACAGGCTGTGCTCCTGCGCGCGCACTTCCTCCCCCTCCTTAGAGACACAGGCTGCTCCATTGGCTCCCCGGTGGCCCGGTCCACCCGGCACCCACCGGCACAGGAGAAACCCGCCCACACAGAGCCACTGGCCCCACCCCTCCTTCTCCCTTAAAATTGGCTTGAACAGCTCAGGGAGACAGAGCCTGCAGCGACCCAACAGCTCAGCGGCAAGAAGAAGCCCCTGCGAGACTGGGAAAGAAGCAAGAACTCGCGGTAAGCCGGATGTCTGCACCTAACAGCGGACCCCTCTTCTGTCCCTTTGAAATGTTTGGGGGGAAACTGAGGCAACGAAGGAATGCTTAACCGAAGCACAGACTTGTAATTCAGGCAGAAAGAGGACCACCTAGCGTCCACACAGAAGGGGGAGCACTTTGCAATGACTCCGGGTAAACTGAAGTGATTCCTAGAGGGAGAGGATAGGAGAGATGCCTTTCTTGCAGAAGTCTTGCTTGCACAGTAAGGGGAGAAAGTAAAGAATGACTCGGGTTCTTTGCACAGACAATGGGAGCAGCATTAACGGGCAGTAACTACATTGGAGAGCGAGAGTCCTGGCGGGTGTTCTATGGTCGCCTTCTTTCCTAGTGGACCCACTAAGAAACAGGCTGGGCATCAAGGAGGGGGATTGCCAGGACAGCATGATTAACTAGGCAGGAAGTTCTGGGCGAGAGAAGTCGGGACTTTTAGGAACCTCTTATGAGCACTTGGAGTGAGGATGCAAAGCTGCTCTGGTCCCTCAGGGCGCTCATCACATCCTCTCAAGGCTTGACCCGTCGGTTTGACCCCTTGCTTTCTCATGCTGCAGCAGGAAAATGCTAAAGCTCTCTGCATTCTCTCGGGACCTTTGTTTTCCTAACCTTAGAGAGACAGCGCGGGGAGGAGCAGGCTGGATGAGGGAGGGAAAGTATGCGGCGCTCCCAGATAACCAAGGACAAACTTCAGTGCAAAGAAACGCGGTAGCAATGGTTTATCTGGTGGCCAGTTTGGTCTGCTGAAGCGGATAATAGGGCAGGGGTGTGGTGGAGGTGGGAGTTTACAATCCCATGAGCGCATCACAAAGACAACGGGAGTACACTTACTGCAAGGCTACTTAGGGATTTTTTTTTCCTTCTGAGCTGCAGAGCCTGACCAAGGCAGAACCAATCAATGCAGGTCAGCGGCATGCTGAGTGCATACATCCAGTGGGGGTTAAGTCATATTCAATCCCAGACTGGATTCTGGAAACACTAAAATAGTTCCCTCTGCCCATCGGTGTATTCCACTCAAAGTGCTGTCAGGAGAGCTAGCCTGTATCTTGGTGGAAGCAATACTAGCTGCATCCCTCACCACACACACACACACACCTAAGCTGGATCATGAGGACACCCCCCAGATCATTTGGGAAGCCTCCCGAGAGATGTACAGCGGTCTGTGTGCTTCCTCCCAGACCAAGGATGCTTGGTGCAGCCAGAAGGAGCTGAGGAGCATCGGTGCTTCTGCCAAGGCTTTGGGGACCGGTGAGAGGAAGCTGCTCGCTGAGCAGTGTGCTCAGCCAGGGGTGTGAGAATGACTCCCAGAGTCCTGCAGGGCTCATCAGCTGGAAGGACTGGTGTGAGTTTGAGCCGAAAGCACCTGTGGTTGTTTTCAGTCTCATGGTGGAGGAGGCTTCAACTTTGACTCATCGGCAGGGGGCTTAGCTCCATTCGAACTGTAAAATCGCCACCCTTCTCTGAGACAGCAAGTCTCTGTGGGGGAGAGCCTTTTGCAGCCTGAGTTGAAACAGTCAATCCCATCTGACTACTTGGCAACTGTGCATCTATTGTCTCAGAATAGTTTTTTTGCTTGGTTTCTCTGTGTGATGTCAGCTCTGGTCCGGTAAAATCGGGTCATGAGAAGCTGGAATATTCTGTTAATTCCCTTTTTGGGGGGCATTAGCTTTGGCCATACAGGCAGAAAATTCTGGATGAAGCGACTAAACACAGAAACCAAGAATGAATGCCAGCTTTGAGCTATTCACGTGATGGGTCTCGCCATGTGACGGGTCTCACTTCAAACCCAATCAGAGTGCTGATGGCCCAGATTTATAGAAAATTGGAGCTAGAGTTGGGGCCATGGCTTAGCGGACAGTGTTCGCCTAGCATGCAGGGAGTCTTTAGATTTCACTCCCAGCATAGACTGGATGTGGTGGTGAACACCTCTAATCCCTGGCACTCAGGAGATGGAGGAAAGAAGATCAGAGGTTCAGGGATGGCCTGGGAAACAATGAGATCTTATCTCAAAGAAAGAAAGAGGGAGATAGAGAGAGAAGGAGGAAATGAAGGAAAGAAAAAGGAAATTACAAGTAGAGACTCTCAGAGCCTTGGTTATGCATCATTGTCGTCTAATACTGGCCCAGCTGTCTTCTTTCACCTTGTATGGGAGACAAACTTTTCTAGATAGGATTAAGCTCAGTTCCTGGCTACTGGGAAAGAGACTGAAGCAGATTGCTGGTCATGCAGCACTCATTTCTCTGGCATGTTTGAAGGGGCAGCCCAGGAGAGCTGTGTCAGCACATCCCAGGAAACACGGACCAGCTGTCCTCAGCATCCGCTGTAAAGAACTGGGTGTCCTTAGCAGTGCGTGCCATGCCACTGGCCAAGATTCTGGGGGTGACCTGTGATTGACAGGTCCGACTGAGGTATACAGACTGACTATGAGATGCTCCTGACACACGTCAGACAGAGGTCCCTAGAATTTTCTTTGGGGACTGACCTAGAAGACCTGAGTCCACCTGGAGCCTCTGCAGCTATCAGTGCAAGCTTAGGCTGGCCCCACACACTGTAGACTTTAGTACTGAAAGTCTGCTATGTGGACGCAAATGATCTGTTAGTTCACACCTAAGGATTAAGGACGCCACACGGAAGCAGCTAGATGTGTCAACTGCTAATTCCAAATTCCCAAAGTTCCAGAGGCCCCGTTGTGTGGTGTAAATTGGCTTGAAAAAGACAAATAAGAAAACAGATTAAGGATGGGTTACAAGATATCACTCTGCTTTCAGGAAGTAATGGCTCCTGTTCATACTGCTCTCTGAACACTGGTGAAGGGCATGACAATTTGTATCACATGCCATACGAGCTAGGAAAATTTGTTATTAACCCTTGAAGACCATAAGGACCTCTGAGAGCCTGGCACCTCTTCTTTTGCAGTGGCTTCAAGCAATTTGAGCTCTTGTTGATGAAGGCATCCATGATAAGTGTAGTGTACACCTGCCAGGCGTCAGACATCCAGGATCCTTATCTATTCTCTAGCTTTTGGAAAATACACAAGATGGAAAGCATTAGCTCATTAGGAAGCTCAGGGAACTAAGGCTCGAAGAAACAACAGATCTGCCCACCCAGACCTGTAAGTGGCAGTTGACGGGTCCAAGTTGAGAGTTCAGGGGCCATGTTCCTCCGGTCACTGTAAAAATGTTATTCATAGGGCTGGGTTGTGGCTCAGTGGCTAAGCATGTTTAGCATGTGCAAGATTCTGGGTGCAATCCACAGCACCAGAAATTTTTTTTAAGTATGTCATGAGCAGGTGTCATGCAGACACGAAGAGGGAAGAGCTCGGAGACTGGGATAGCTCAGGAGGCAGGGGTCAGGGGTCAGCCCCCAAGCTACCATGTCGGGGAGTGCTTTTGAAGTTCTGTCTTGGTTTCATATCTGTAAAGTGAGATATGTTGTCTTAAGTGATTAATGAACAGAAGGTGCTTTGAAAACCCAATGCCAGGCAAGGGACAGGCATTAAGATCTCTGCTGAGTATGCACATGTCTCATTCACTGCAGCTCTACCCTCTGGAAAGGCTGGTAAAATTCAGATTCATTCATGAAAGGGCATGACAAACACTTGTGATCATGACCTGATTTGAGAGTGTTAGCATCCAGAGGCAGACTGAGGGATTACCACATTATTTCACTGTTAATTCATTATACCTGGGTAGGGTGGCGTTTGCTTTAGGGACTGAAAGGAGCCGGGAGTTCAGATGGATACTGGACTCTCTTTATTTAGTCTCCAGCTTTGGAGTGGGCATTGCATGGCACTGACTGGCTGGGCTCGCCTTTTCCTCAGCAGGCTATGAGGTCATTTAAGAAAGTTTCTTTTGTTTTTATCCCAAAAGGATGCAGGACACACTCCCTACACCCACAACCAACACTTGCTTACTTCTTCCAACAACCAGGTCATTTGGTAGGAGGTAGAGCAGAAGAGTCAACATGGTTGGTGCAGATCTTCCCTAGGCTAATTCCATGTAGCTTAGACACAGGCATGCCGACTTGCTAAAAACGCTATGCCTATCCTGATAGGTGGGGCATCAGAGGGTTCTATTCATCTTTCATGTCCTTGTCAAATTATATCAGGAGGCAGACTCTTCCAAGCCCTTGGGAGATGGAGCCAAGAGGTTCAGGAGTTCAGGGTTAGCCTCAGTTATATAGCAAATTTAAGGCCAGCCTTTGTTACATGAGACCCTGTATCAACACACACACACACACACACACACACACACACACACACACACACACATGCACGCACGCACGCAGAGGGAGGAGGAAGGAAAGAAGGAAGGAAGGGAGGGAGGGAGGAAGGAAAGATGGAAGGAAGGAAGGAAAGGAAGGAAGGAGAAACTCTTTTCTCATTGTTATAAAGAACTCTGTTCAAAATTGAAAAGAGAAAATAAGTATTGACCTGTGGGGAAAAATTTTTTTGAGAAGAATTGCTTTTGAAAATCACATTTGTTTATTCGTGTGTGTGTGTGTGTGTGTGTGTGTGTGTGTGTGTGTGTGTGTGTGTGTTCTTGATATCAGAGAACAACTTTCAGGAGTTGATTCTCTTCTTCACCATGTGCGTCTCTGGGCTTGAACTCAGGTCATCATGGCCTTAACCTGCTGAAGCATCTTGTCATCCCTAGAGTTTCTTATTTGCTGGCAGATTTTGCAAATAGTTTGCCTGGGTGTGGTGGTGCATGCCTATCATACAGGCATCCAGTAAACAAACACAGGAAGGTCAAAACTTCAAGACCAGCCTGAAGGATACAGCAAGTTCTAAGCCAGCCAGGGTTACATAAAACAAAACAACAACAAAGAAGAAGAAGCCCTAGAAAGAAGAAAAAAAATTACAAAAACCAAGGACTAGGAAAGTACGTCAATGGTAGAGTCTAGCTTGCTCAGCATGCTTTTTAAATCACCAGTACATTCACTCCCTCAAAAGGAGGCAAATAAAAT